TATATATATCCAAAATTCAACCAAGATGTGCAATTGAATTGAATTGCAAATCTTGCGTGAATTTTGGGACACCCTATATATACACAAATGCTGATAATGTGTAGACAAGCCATCACACTTACTATTGTGATTAAAAATTCTATAAATCTATGGCAATTTATGAACATAATTGTTTACTTTAGTCCAGTTTTTCTATTTTTGAAAATTTATTATGTACAAATTATCTTATAGGAGGAAAATAAATTTGTATATAGTTTTCCCTAGTATTTCCAAGATAAAATAACTTGACAATATATTAAAAGATGTACCAACTGGCAATAAATTTCCAACTAAATGAAGAAAAATACAAAACAAAATAAATACAAATACAAAATAAATAGAAATTATTAATATTTTATGTATGAAGATGTCTAGTATTGAGGAGAAATATCATCATTGTGTTTATGATACATATTAAAAAGTCTTTGCTAGAGGCAGTAAGTTTTATAAAATTTGCGAAACATGGCAATAACAGCATTTGAAGAAATATTTTTGACATTACCTGGAATGCAGGGTCTAGAGCACAGGTCATATAGGAAAGGAAAGGGGTGCCCAGGAAAGTGGGGTATAGGGCTGGGGGAGGGCTCAGTATTAGGGGGGGCAGAGTGAGGAGGGGAGCTCTCACCACTGAGGGCTCGGAACTGACTCCATTGATGGAAGAAAGGGGAAATAAATGCTTCTCAGAGCGTGAAAGGGAACATGAATGAGGAGAGAAAAAGAAGGGAGAACCAGTCATTGGAAGAGTCATACCATATTCTAGAAATAACAGATAATCTCTATAGTGATCAAGAGCCAGAACTCTGGTGTCAGATTCTCTTGGCTCAAATCCCTGAGTCCCAGTGTGATTTTGGGAAAATTCTTTAACTACATGGCATCAGTTTCTTCATCTGAAAAAATGTGCATGATAATAGAACCCATGTCATAGAATTATTGTGAAGATTAAATAAAAGCCCAGCAGGTAATAAATGTTCAACAATTTGTAAAGGCGATCTTTTATTTATTTTTTGTACAGGAGATCAGGATTCCAACCGGTTTCCTTCTCTGTGAGAGAAGCATGTTAGCCCTTGCCGCTTGCCTCACTGGGAAATGGTGTGTTTATCTCCGAAACTTTCCAAGTGACTCCTTGTTTCCCTGGCCCAGTTAACGGGGCCAGCCGCTGGTGTGCCATCGGCCAGAGAGGCAGGGCCTGCTCACGGCCTTTCTCTCCCCTTTTGTCACAGGCAGGTGCTCGATGACAAGCTACCCAGAGTCAGGGAGAGAAAAGAATGCTCCACCGATGACCTGTGGCTTCAGTCTCTTCCTGAGCCATGTGTGTCTGGGAGAAACATTTGCCCTTGGCTACGTGCTGTTTCCCACTCTGAGTCATGTCTCTTCCTTTCTCTCATTATTCTCCACGCCTACCTTTTCCGATAACGGCTTGTGCAGCCAGGCTGAGTGACCCGGCATGTCCTTGTGCAGGCAGAGAGGTGTCTGTCCTATTTTTGGATAACTGTTGAAGTGGTGTCCTCTGACTTCTCTCACTGCTGCGTGGTCTTCTTTCTCTGCCACAGATACATTGCAACAGTCAACAGCACAAGGGAGTGGAAAAGAGATGAATGGTCACAACCTGTAGCTCAGTATTCTCTGCCACAGATACATTGCAACGGTCAACAGCACAAGGAAGGGAGGTGGAAAAGAGATGAATGGTCACAACCTGTAGCTCAGTTTTTATTTTAACTTTTGCTTTTCTGCCACTGTATTTCAGATACATGATTCTAGTAGAGCCCTCACACCTCTTCCCAGGCCGCTTTTTATTCAATTAGACATAGGCGACGTTCCTTTATGGAAAAGTCTTTAGCCGACTTCAACTCCCTTCACCCTGTTTAATTTCTATTGCCCCCTTCACTAGGCGTTTGGGACAGGGGTGTCCAACAGCAAACCTGTGAAGTGAAGTTTGTGTCATTGGAAACTCCTGTTTCCCCTTTTCTGTCCTGATTTTGTTTGGTGGCATCCCTTTTAATCAGTGCAGGGTGCTCTCCTATGGCTCACAGCTCAAGGCCCTCATACTTGGATCCCTTATGTAGTTTTTCAACATCCCTTTCTCAGGTAATCCATTCACATTAAAGTAATGGATGGCTGCTAATAGAGTGATATTTACCTCACCCAAAGGGTATCTTTTCCTTAAGAAAGCATCAAGGTATAAGGTCCCAATGGTGGCATTTCAGATATCAGTCCAAAGAAAGTAGCTAAGGAGTGGGTAAAAAATGTTTTTAAAAATACAACAAGTGCCTTCTTTTGCTCATTTGGCTATTTAGGGGTGAATGGGGATGGGGTGGGGAATTAGGTTGATTAAATTATGGAAGCCCAAATTGTTTTTATTCCTAAAAAATATAACCTGTGCCCTAGCCAGTTTGGCTCACTGGATAGAACATTTGCCTGTGGACTGAAGGGTCCCAGGTTCAATTCCTGGCAAGGACACATGCCCGGGTTGCAGGCTCGATCCCCAGTAGGGGGTGTGCAGGAGGCAGCCGATCAATGATTCTCATCATTGATGTTTCTATCTCTCTCTCCCTCTCCCTTCCTCTCTGAAATCAGTACTAAAAATATATTAAAAAATAACTTGAATAACTTGTATATCCTTATCCTGCGCTCCCTCCTCCTTCAATTCCTTCCCTTGTCCTCCCTATATAATATATACCTTGAAGGAAAAAGATATACCAAATCCTGATTTGTGATAAATTGCTAGCATGGTAATTTTTTTATTGCAGCACTACATAATTAAAAAAAATAATTCTTAAAGTAATGTGTAACCTTGTTAAAATTCTTTAAGTTATTGTTATCTTAAACATTCTAAAATGATAAAGTTTCAAGCTACAGAAATAGAGCTATTATTATTATTTTTAAAATATATTTTTTTATTGATTTTTTACAGAGAGAAAGGGAGAGGGGTAGAGAGTTAGAAACATTGATGAGTGAGAAACACCAATCAGCTGCCTCTTGCAGCCCCCCTACTGGGGATCGAGCCCACAACCAAGGTGCATGCCCTTGACCGGAATCAAACCCAGGACCCTTTAGTCTGCGGGCCAATGCTCTATCCTCTGAGCCAAACCGGTTAGGGGTAGAGCTATTATTTATATGATTTATCTGCTATACTATTTAATTTGGTCTGGGTTTAAATGAGACAATGTATGGGCCTGTGTTTTCTAAAGTGTAGAATGCTATAAACACAATGCTTTAGTATTATAAATTTCAAAATGGGAAATGGGATAAAGAAATAGCAACATTCTAAAATGCCAGAAAGTATGCTTCTGAACAAGTTTCTAAGTGTTAGTGTTTTATATCCCTAAAGATGTGAAATAAATTTCAGATAAGAGAATTGGGAGTAATTATTAGAATTAGCACATCTCAAACCCCTCTTGCAAATGAAGAAATTTTTGAAGTCGAAGCATGATTTCCACCCTAGCTCTGAAATCATCCCAAGTTTTCTTTAATTATTTATTCACATAGTCATTCATTCAAAAATATTGATTGAGCTCACTAAGTGTTGGGCACCATTTCAGAATCGCGGGAAACAAAGATGAAGTCATGCTTTTAAATCTAACTAGTAATCAAGTAGGGTTAGTTAACAAGGGTTGGTTTTACTGGGTGGTAAGTGATAATTGGAGTTTGTACAAGATTTTATATGAAGACACAGAAGAGGCACTTAATGTGGAGGAGTTTCAGAAACAGAGGGGTTCTGCCATGAGGAGAAGAGTGATCCTGGCATGGGGGCAGGAAAGAGCTGGGCACTTCAGTGAGGGCTGCAGAAGGGAGTTGCTGCAGGTGACAGTGGGGGCAATAGTGAAGGCCTTGCATACATTGTTCAAGAGTCTGGAGTTTATTGTAAGGGCAAGCACATGCAATGGATAGCTTTGAGCAGCAAGTCTTGATGGGATCACTTTGTTTTGAGGGGAAGATGGATTGGAGAAGGTCATATTGAAGGCTAGGAGTGAGGCCAGTTAACAGGCTGTAGCAACTAGCTGGGCAAAAGTTGAAGATAGTAATGGTCATGGCAGTATAGCAGTGATCTTGGTAGAGAAACCTTCAAATAAAATAAATTTTAATTAATTTAGAATATAGAGTAACATTATTTGGGGGGGAAATGTCACAAGGATAAAGACTTAAAATTGTTAAAAATCTAGGAATCCCTGTCATGAAGAATCAAAGCCATATACACAGTTTCACAATCAACTGAAGAGTGAAAAACGAATGCATTATTTATTATATGTATAGCACCCAGCCCTCTAATTGATAGAAAATCCATGATTTTTTAAAATTCCTGGACTGAACAGATAGATTGGTTTTTGTATACGTAGCCAAGTCTTCTGACTGAAGCTACAGAAAACATGGAGCTAGAAAGCGCCTGAGAGATTTTTTTAGTTCAATCCTTCCCTTAAAGATAAGAAAATTGAGACCCCCGAGATTAAACCATTTGCAGTAGGTGACACACCTCAGTAAAGGCAGTGCTGAGACTGGGATCCAGATGCTTGATCCTTTTTCATTACATTCCAATAGCTTCCCAAGAAAGGCTTCTGAATAAATTCATGGGATGTAGATGACTGAAAAGAGGGACTTTCAAAGTTCTTTGAAACTATAAAGAGCATTTTTAAAAGCCAGACACCTGCTTTATTATTAGAAGTTGGTCAATTTTCCAGATAAACTGACAATAAAAATTCTATGCTGAATCAGCAAATACACTTCACATACTCACTTTCCAGAAATAATTTTAGACTCTAGTCTGGCTTCATGGTACCAGTACCCAAGCACATGTGATTTATATTGTTTTACTTTCTCATAAAAAAAAACAACACCTGAAAACAGAAATATCAGTTTATTCAGGATTAGGAAGAGACTTTATTTCAGGAAGAAGATGAAATATAGTGGGTTTATGAACAAGCTATTCCATACTTTTCATCCAATGATAGAAAAATTAATAGGAGACCTCTGTAAGTGCTGGAAAAACAAAAAATTAAATTACCAATCTCATAATTTTCACCAATACATTCCTGAATAAGCAATAATTCATGTTTTTTAATGTATTATGAGTTTTTAAGAAGGTACTTAATTAGAACAGAATCTTTATTGATCAGTTTTATATTTAATGTAAGAAAAGCAATGGATGTATCTATGGGTTTTTTAGAAAGTTTATTATGGATATTGAGAAAGTCTCCAAATCACCCACCTTTCACCCCCACCAGCTAAAGAACAAACATGTTTGCACATGTGACCTGGATCAACTTGGTACAAAATTTCAGTTTTTGAAAGAGTTAATGGCAAATCTCAATAAAAATTCACTTTGAAAGTATCCAATACTATTAAGAAATAAGGAGCTCATATTTATCATTTTTAAAAGTTACTTGATTTTGTTATATGACTTTGTGTATATTTTTGATTTTAAAACTTGCCAAATGAGTGGTAATGCTTTCAGGTAATGATCATGAGGGTCTTTTCTAAGGATGCTATCATGGCCTAAGACAGTTTTAAAAGCCTCTTTTGAGGTTACTTTCAGAAAAATACAAGTCTCATAATTTAATCATTAATTTGCCTTGGTCCCCAATAATATTCCAACAAATCATCCTTTATTTCACCAGTCCTGGCAATTTGGAAAAATAAAATTAATATTTGAATGAAGTTTTGTCATCTATGAAGATATTTAAATGAATGTTAATTCAGGTTCTTATAGTAATCCTGAAATTTGAGCATTTCATACTTTTAAGATGTGTAAATTGTAGTAACTACTCACATCATAGACATAATTTGTGTAAGTTATCATTTTGGAATAATGAGATTTCTAAAACAAAAGCAATGCAACTGCATATTCTCATATTCCTCTAACATATTTTGGAATAATGAGATTTCTAAAACAAAAGCAATGCATAACATTAAAATAGGATTCTACAGTTCACGATGATAAGAATAATTCTATACTGTGTAACAAAACTCATGTTAGACAACATATTGAAAGTTTATAGCTGTTAGTGTTTAATTTATAAATAATAGCTCAGTAGCATGGACCCAACAAATTGACAAATTTCTTGGAAGTCTCTCTACATGAATCACTGTGATACTTAAGTATAAGAAATAGGCTTTATTGTAAAATGTTATTAAATAGCACCAATATTACTTGAAGGTAAAGTGAAACATTAATAGGAATGCAGCATACTGGTTTAATTTCTAACTATAAGAGAGAAAGCATATCCTAAACAAAATAAGAATTGGATACAGATTATTTTAACATTACTTATAAAACATTTCAGGGTTTTGCTTATAAAGTTAGAAAAAAAAAGCCAGTACATTGGTCTTTTACATTCTATTCCCAAAGAAGATATATATGCTTACATAATCACGACAGTGCAATCTCAGCAGTAAAATTCCTGCTCATTCTATATAGTTACTCATTCTATATATTAGCTCAACAAGAACACAAATATAATAAAAGTGCTTGAAAGCAATCTGATTAGAGCAACATTTACATTAAGTACAAAATATACAGTAAAATGAAATTTCTTGTTAAATAGGATTAGAGATTAACAATACCTTATTTAAAGGAACACACTTGCATGAATCAATTTTCACATTTGTTTTATTATATTTGATAGCCCCTATCACTACTGTATGCTTTCATTTCTTCAATTTCTAGAATCTTTGTATATCTTATCGCTAAGAGTCCCTATGACTTTATCTGCAAAGGTAACTTAAAAGTATTACTTCCAAAGTAAGAAAATAAGAAATCCCATATTTTTATGGCAGTTGTGCAAAAAAACCACTGCAGTATTTGAGAGAAATGTATCTTGATCATCATAAATTCGTCATGATAAAAGATATACTTTTGTACTAAAGCAAAAAGTGTTTGCCTTTAAAAATAGTGTTGTCAACCTATTGTGTAATTCTGGTTATAAAGTTAGATATGAAATCCATGGTTATTAATTATTAAAGCATTATTTGAAAAAAATTTGCCAATAAACATTTCTAAATGTGGCTGTCCATCTTAATGAGCACAGTTGGGGAATGAACAGAACAGTAGTCGCTTTATGCTGTAACAACAAAGAAGTAGGACAGTATCCAAATCTGCAGACCTGGGACCACGTGTTCAGTCGCGGCTCAGCTGCACGCTGACAGAAGAGAGGATGCGTCCTGCGCTCACACACAATGGGGCAATGACAACGTCTGTCACGCTCTTCCATATTGTCTGCACTGAAGGCTGGACCATTAGGCAGGTCTTTACAAAAGGCATTATAATCCTGGAATGAAGGAGGAGAGATGTGTAAGGGTTATTGGTGTTACCAAATAAGGCCACTGGCTCCTGCACATGCGTGAAAAGATATAACAATGGCCTAACTCACCTAACTTTGGCTGAACTTTTGAAACAAAATAAAGTGACCC